TACATTAGTCTTCATTTTGTACATTTTTTCATCTCGTTTGTAATCCCATGGACTTGGATTTATTAATACAGTTAATGAGAGTATTAATACAGTTGGTAGCCAGGCCCCACAGCCCAAATTCCAAGTGTAGTTTTTGACTCCTCCCAAACTTAACTACTAGTAAATACCTTGTAAACCTAAAACTATCCTGATCAAATGGTTGATTACATATTTTGTATGTTATATATATCATATACTGTATTCTTACAAAGTAAAGTGAACTAGAGGAAAGAAATTAAGAAAATCATAATTTTACAAATAATTGTAACATTGTACTGAAATTTACCCACCCCAATATTTTACATCATCTGTTCATAAGAAAATCCATCCATAAGTGGGCCCATGCAGTTCAAACTGATGTTGTTCAAGGGTCAACTGTAATTATATAACGAAAATTCTTATTTTAATTAAAATATTTAGTAAAATATTTTATTTCATTAAATTGAATAAGTCAGCAACAATGGCAGCATGAAAATACTGTTTAAGTCTTCCTAGTCAAAAAATGGCACATGTAGAATTTTGAACCTTTCATGAATAAGAGGTTTTGATTTTTTTTCCCCCAAAATGGACACAGATGACAAATTACAAAATTAATAATCACGATGAACACTCTAAGCATCTTTAAAGCAGAGTTTAAATCCAATTTTAAACACATTTTCCCAAAGGCTTCAAGGACTCTGAATGCTCGATCAGTCCTCATTAATTGGCAAGCACATTCAACTCTCATGAATTATTACATCTAAGATGCTATTATCTAATATATAAATGCCATTAAAGAATAAAATCTCATCTAAAAAAGAATATGAGGGCTGAAGCAGCTCCAGTGAAAATAATTTAGCTATGAAATCTAATCTGCCACAAAAGAAGTGATAAGACTCGCACATAGAATATGTCTTTCCCTGCTGCCCTGGTCTTACTGAAGAGGCCCAGTTTTGCTGTCTTTATTGCTGTACTTTCAGGCTCACAGGCCATCCATATACTGCCTTGATAACTGTCCACACCATTAGCTTCTGTGGTTCACTGTAGACTCAGGATTCATAGCGTCAGCACCATCCTCATGAGCAACTCCAGGCTAGCCCTGGCCCCACTACCCAGCCTACCTCCTCTGCAGGGTAGTGGTGACGAGCACCTGCAGGCGGGTGGAGTGCTACCCTGTGAAGAGTCAGAGGACAGTTTTTCCAAAGGAAACGGGCATGAGGGGCACTTAGGGGAGAGGTAGGACAGTGCCTGCCTGCCTCCCTCCGTCTTGGGGACCAACCAGGTCCCCTACCTGGTTGGAGGTAACCGTCCACCTGGTATTTATCACCCTCATCTGGCTGGTTACCTAGTGTCAGGGAACATGAAAACCAACTTCACATATGTGATGTTTTCAAACAAAATACTTACTTGAACTAATAAGTGTCCTGTATTTGGCAAACAGGTGCCAGATGTCTTGGTGTTCTCATTTATTTGCTTTATCAAATCCATTAATATTTCCACAGAACCTTTGCTGATCATTTCATTAAGAAATGTTGGATTTCCAGAAAGGAATTTGATGGTTCCCATACAGTATAAAAATGCCTCAGTGTTAGTTTGCAGGTCTTCATTTCTCAGAACTTCCAATAATGATTCTGTTAAATAATGAATTATTACAAGTGTGTAACAGTGGGAGAGAAAAACATTAAAGCACTTCAGTGTGACCATCCAATACAGTTTGTAAAATATATTAACGAGAACGTATCTTCAAATGCTTTTTAAGTGCCCCCATATGGTATAAACAGAAAAACTTTTATTATTTTATTTTTTGAAAAGATGACTTTCAGCGAAGGCCAATCTTTACACAGGGAATGACAGCAAAAGGATGAGCTTATTAATATATAACTGAAAAAGTGTTCTTTAATTAAATGTCATTTTCCCCCTTACTAATATACCAACATTTATCTTAAGTTAAAAAATGCTTGCCTTATTAAAAGATAAGTAATAACTGTAAGGCAAAATGTTTAAACAAGCCCTTAAGAATATATTTGTTGCTATAAGAATAGAAAATTTTGAACTGTGAAAAATAGTTCTATCACCACAGAAATAAAGATATTTATTCTATCACCACAGGATAATTGAATATAATGCCCACTCTTTCCCAAGACAATTTAAAAACATCCATTCAAACAATATACGACTAGATTTAGGAGCAATCTAGGAAATGCTGATAAAGTTAATCAAGTTTATCTCACATTTAACTCTATTAGTGTCAATGTGATAATTTATCAGCATGTTTGCCTTTAGTCTACAGTTCTGTTAGCTAATTGCTACTTAGACATTTCTTTCAGTACTGACTCTGTTCCCTCTAGTACTTGCTGAGGTATAAAAAACACAAAAGATCTTTATACTCTGATGCAGAAAGAGGACAAGTGTTTATTACACCACTTGCCTTCCCTTGGGTCAGCAACATTTATTCACAAAAGATTTCTACTTATGTAACTATTTAAGCATCCTGATTATTTAGGCACAAGGAAATTAGAAAGTAATCAAATTTCTCTACCTACATAACTGAAACACATTTGAGACATTTCGATAACAAATTTTTACAACAGTTACAGATATCTCTGAAGTTTTAGTCATACCGAAGTCATATCAAAAGACCAATACTTTCAGTTAGGTCATATGTATTTCTTTCTAATAGTAAAAACCAGGACTAGAAAACAAATTTATAGGGAATACTTGGTAAAAACACATAATGTCACCACAAAGATTTAAAAAATAATAGCTGATGATCTTTTTAGGCTCTAAAAGATACATTAAATGGAAAGTAGGAAACACAGAGAAGGTCAGAGCAAAAGTCAGAATCACATAGCTGGAGCATATAGCTGGAAATTAAACTGCCTAGCTGTCATTAACTATAACTGCTCTTTCGACTTCTTATTTATACTTAAGTGTGACATTTGCTCAATGATGACACTGAAAGATACTCACCCAGAATGTTGTCATTTTGAATCAGAGAATCATTCTTCTCATTCCTGCTAATTTTAAATATAAGTTTGCAGACATTAAGAAGAGTCTTCCTCCTCACTTTAAGCTGCAGAAAAAGAAAATACTTACATTTCTATTGCGGAGAGAGGCACAATTTAAATATAACAGATACCCTTTCTTAAGACAACTTAAAAATATCCATGTAAATAAATGCAACTACTAAGTTTTGGGGTAATCTTGGCAATTTTATAATGCTAATAATGCCTATATTACATTTAGTTATATTAATGCCAACATAATTTGTCACATGCCATAATTTCTTAACACAAGTATCTACTTTAAACATGAAGCAAGAGTATTTTTAAAACAAAGAACAGGTCTCAATAAATAAATCGACTTTAAAATGTTTAGGCTACCAATTTGCTAACTATGGCATTTAATTAACTCAAAGTAAATACAGTATTAATGCTCTTTAGAGAAAGCACACTTTAAAGATAAGCATTTATTTCTTGCTTCATAAAAGTTCATACTTTATGCAACATTATTGATTACTTTTAAAAGTATATGAGGGAGAAAATGAAAATGATTTTGATAAATTTTAAAAGAGCAACTGCTTTAAAACACAAAGATGTTGGATATCAGAGTGGATCAAGGTAACTTAGAAAAGAATATATAGCAGAGGGAAAAATAAGAAAGATGAAAATACATTCCTCTTCATTTGTATGAAAGAAAATTTTAAGTGATATTCTTCGATTAGGTAATTTTTTAAAAGACTATTTCTGGAATATTTTGCAATAACTACAAGGAATATTCACAGTTTAAACATACAAAAATGTTTAATGAGATACAGGTATAACAAAGTATACTTTAAAAACCCACACAATGTAGGAAGACTGTCTGATTGAAGACATCTAAATTAGATGTATAATTACCTTAAAGATATGAAATCTAAAGCATCTTAAATGTCCAATGTTAAGGATAGTTTGAGAAATTGTGAAACAGCATATTAATCAGTCACAAAATGTATAACTGAAAATACTATGATAAAAGAAAGACCTTCAAGTCTACCATTAGATGGGACTATTACATGTCCTCACTGCATGAGTGTACAGTGTGAGGAAACAGAGGAATGAGGACGTCTGAACAACAAATACAACTGCATGAAAGCATGGCATGTGGCTCATTAAAAGTATTTTCATATTGTTTATGAATGAGTTTTCAGTCATTTCAATAAAAGGTAATGGAATTTGTCAGACACAGGCGTCTGAACCACAAATATTCCCTGGGCTCCTCTTGTGTACCAGGCCCTGTGCTGTAGGAGATCCTCAATGAAGGAGATCTACTCCCTGCTTGGGTGCTGGGGGAGGAGGTGGGAATGGAGGGTGTTCCATGGAGCACCCTCTCTCCTCCCCCACTCTCACTCCTGGTGCCTTTACATGTTCTCCCAGAGCAACCCTGCAAATGAGGTGTTGTCATCCCCATTTTGCAACTGAGGTGTCTACTGCTCAGACAGGTCACTTAGAAGCTTCTCTGCATTCCCCCAGCCCCCACCTGTGTTAGAATTGCAGAATCTCAGGCCCCACCCAGATACAGTGAATCAGAATCTGCATTTTAACAAGCTCCCAGGGTATCCACATAACAAGCAAATCTGTGGAAGCCTCAGAGTGTCACCCGTGAGATTGCTTCTATTCTCAAGAGAAAAAAAGGCAATGAATACTTAAAAATATTGTTGAAAGATCTAGGGGAAAAGCTGACTAAAGAAAATAGAAAACAAATCCCCTATCAGCGGGAATATATTTTGTCTCTTATACTGGGGAATATATTTTAATCAGTTGACTATTTTCCACTACATTGTGCACTTTTGAGATCAAAACCACGATTTATTGCTCCATGTGAATATATGTATATATATTGTGTATATGTGTGTGTGTGTGTGTGTGTATTTAGCAAGTGTTACATAATGAAGCCTACTGAATAAATGAATGAGCACAACTAACTTCATGCCCCACCAGCTCTGATATTTTTAGTAATTTTTTTTTGGGCAAAAAAAAAAAACAAAACAACAAAACACCCTGACATCAGAGATTTTATAAAAACAAACACAATTTCCAGACCTGCTATAGGTCAATGTATATTCAAAAGTAAATTCTTACAACTTTCCTTTTGATAACTGTAAAGTGATGATTTTCAGACCATGAAGAGATATAATATCAAGTCATGCAAGGACTAGAGACTCCTTTCTATAAAACAGCGCTTTCTCCCATCAGTGTTTGCTCCCTTCACTCTGTATAATCCCTCCAGGATTCACACCCACTCCCACTGGCACCTGATGTGTTACTTCTGCCCCCAGCTACCATGTCAACGGGGAAGGCAGGGGCTGTCTTATCCACCAGAATCCCCAGTGTCAAGAATCCCTGGCACAACGTAGGTTGTTGTACTGGGGTAGTTACTTCTCATGTTAAAAACAGTAGTCTTTTCTGTTTAAAGCAAATTTGGAACATTAAAGACAAGTTTAAAAACATTTCTACTCCTTAATGCATAACCACTGTTTATTTACTGCTATTTCTTTTTTGTTTTCATCCTCTAAATGATTTCTTAGGGCACTGGATTTTTTTTTTCTCCTCCTGAATATAGTTGCATTCATATTGTTTCATACATGTTTGTAACCAAAAGGTCTTAATATAGTTATAAACCAATGTTAACTCATAAAGGAAAAAAAAAAAAAACTCAAACACACACTGATAAAATTTTTGTAAGGTTTTTCGATACAAAGAGTCAATTAAAATAGTTGTCTGGCAAACCCCCACTTAATCAAAGCATGCAAGAAATCAGAACAACTAACACATTCAGTGAATTTTTTTTTTAAATGAAGAATTTACAATGTCTGAATTATAAGGTTAAGCTGGTAGATAAGGGAGATATGGGTAGAAAGAGGAAAAGTTATTAAAAAATTCTTAGTCTCACATATCCTTAGGTTTTGGCTTATATAT